TTCTTGCGTATTCCGCTTGAGCTACATGATCATCCTGATGTTTGCTTAACTGGTTCAAACAGGGTTTCACTATTGGCCCATTGGCACCAATTTAGTCAATATTATCGACATATAATGAGATTGTGACAGGATGATTCCCTCTGGATGTGTGATTATTTTGATCCTGAGGATCACATCAACCAACCCTAGATCTTTTATGTTGAAATTATCTTTTAATATTTGTTTTATCCAAATAATGAACCTTTGATTATTTCTCGTAATCAGCATATTATCTACGTACGTAGAGGCAGACTAACACAAAGCTGTTTGAATCCTCTTTGTAGTAAACACATTTATCACATTCATTGTATCTGAATCCCTTTGAAAACATGTTATTGTATAATTTCAAGTTCATTGCTTTGGTGTTTGCTTAGGTTCTTATAGAACTTGACCAATTTGCATACCTTATTCTTTTGGTCATATACTATAAATTCTTTGTGTTGTTTAATTTTGATCTCTCTCTTTAGATCACTATTAAAGAAAGTTGTTTTTACATCCATCTGATGAGTCTCTAGTTTGTGCATGGCAACAATTGCGAAAAGCGGACTAATTAAGGTGATTCTAGACACTAGAAAATAGATGTCAAAGAAGTTATCTCTCACTTTTTTTTTTTTATTATTATAGCCCTTAAGAACCAATCGGACTTTAAACTTCTTGACCAATTCATCAGATTTAATTTTTTTTTAGGACCACTTGCATCCTAGGGGCTTGCAACTTTTAAAAGATCGGTCAAGATCCAAGTGTGATTTTGCATGATAGAATAAATTTTGTCATTTATCACTTCCTACCAAAATTCTGTATATGACCTTGAAAATGCTTATATTATTGTCATTGGCTTATCATCCAACATATAGGTGATGTAATCCGGATCAAAGTCCTTGAATATCTTCATTCATTCACTGACTACGTCTCGCTTCTTCTTCCGAGTATTAAATATGGTAGTCATTTCTCGTGTTTTCTTCCGAGAACATTCAGGAATGCTATTCTTATTTTTTTTATATATAAGAAAATACATCTTCAAAGAACTTTGTATTCCTCAATTCCATTGTCATCTTTTCATTGATGTTACTAGTAACGTCGTAACCTATACACAGTCAACCGTCTTTGGAACAATGGTGACTTTCTTTGGAAAATGTACTTCCACCTTAGCCAAACACCCCAACTTTTTGAGGTATCTGTAGGAAGCTTTTGGCCTTTTTATACCTCGTAAGGCGTTACATCCTTACTCTTTAGGGAAATCTTATTCTGGATATGACTTTCTATTAGAACGGCTTCCCCCCACATATTTTGTGGTAAAGCATAACTTATTAGTAGAGTATTCATCATGTCCTTCAATGTTCAGTTCTTCCATTCTGCAACACCATTTGACTGCGGCGAGTAGTGTGTCATAGTCCGATGAATTATGCTTTCAAAGCACAATATTCCAAAAATAAAACAACGTATTTTATAGTTTTATGGCTTCAAATTGCTTTGATACAAACGCTAAGATGATTCTCAGATTCATTTTTAAAGTTCTTAAATATTTCACGAGCTTCGTCCTTGCTGCTCAACAAGTAGAGATAACAATATCGAGTACAATCATCAATGAAGGCGAAGAAGTACTTTTTACCTCCTTTAGTTTGAACAAACTTTAAATCACACAAATCAGAGTGAATTGTTGTTTTGTTGATTTTGTCTTAAAAAAGACTTTACAGTTTCGATTGTCATCGAAATCAATCACCTTTACTAAGTTCAATCTTACTAGTTTCCTTATGGCACTTTTATTCACATATTCCAATCGTGAGTGTTATAGTTCACATGGCTCAAGCAAGTAAGAAGAAACATGTTCTTTATTGTTGTCAGTATCCTAGCTCTTGGCCAATACATTCAGTTTAAACAGTCCATCGGTAAGATACCCTTTACTCTGAAGCATTTCGTACTTAGACAGTACAAACTTCTCAGAATCAAACCCTAGATTAAAACTATGACTAACTAGTAACAAACTGCAAACTAAATTTTTTCGGAAGTCTGGAACATGTAGCACATCCTTCAGCGTCTGAAACCTCTGACCATGCTCGGTTGCCCATTTGCAGCTTCCATCCCTCTACAAGTTTGCGGGAGGCGAATTAGGCCTTGTCTGTGACTACGTTATAGGTAGCCCATAAGTCGACAAACCAGTCACGAGGATTTCTGATGTGCAGGATTTCAGAAAAGACGACGCTGAGGTTATTCTCTCAACCATCTTTCTCCTTCCTTTTTACGGTGAGTGCGCTCTTCTTGCCCTTGCTCTTGGACCTTTTGCATTGGCTGCTGGTGTATGTGCTTGCGACATTTGTATTAGTTACCAGAAAACTTGGGCTTTTTTTCTTGTTGCCCTCTTCAGTCTTACTTTGGTCTTTCCTCTTCTTCAAAAGGTTGTCTCGCTCCATTAAATTAGCATTTTCGTCAAAGACCTTTGATTTTGAACTTTTCTTTTAGTTTTCTTCTTCGATGTGGAATTTGACAACCAAGTCCTCAAGTGATATAGATTTATGCTTATCCTTGAGGTAGTTGTTGAAGTTCTCTCCATGAAGAAGGCAACTTTTCAATAACTACTGCCATATTAAAGGCATTCGGGAGTAGCATCTCTTCAACTTGGACACCGTGTATCAAGATTTGAAAATTTTTCATTTGTTCCACAATTGAATGTTCGTCGACCATATAGTATGACACACATCTTGATACGATGTACTTTTTAGTAGTTGTATCATCAGTCTTATATTTGTTTCAAGTTGTTGCCACAGCTCTTCAACAGTCTTTACATATTGATATACATAGTACAAGGAATCAGAAGGACCATTCAACATCAATTTTAAAAACAAAAAATTTCCTTGTCTTCATTGCTCATAGGTAGCTTGTCTGGAAGAGAGTGCGTCCTCTCCGTCATCCGTCGGTGGATCTTCCGTCAAGAAGGTGCCTAGCCCTAGCATCACTAGATAGAACAACTTTTTTTTTTTCCAGATTTTGAAGTGTTCCATTGAATTTGGACGGCTTCTCCGGCGTGATTAGGGCAATCACTCTTTGTCCCATGAATATCTGATTCAAGGTGGGAGCATACCTAGAACTATTTGCATCAAGAGAGACAAAGTTTATGGAGAAATCAGTGACCCCTCTGGCGATGGCAGCGGCTGGGCAAGTCCGGCAGCGTCGGGTTCAGTGGCTCTAGAGGTGGTTGCATTCCTAGTGGTAACTGCATTTATCAGAGTAGACAAAGCTTCATCGATTTCAGTCATAAAAGAAAGTTAATTTTCCGTGGAGGAAGGATAGTGTTGGTGTATCAGGATTTATTATCACCCTTATTTCTCTCTGCTATTGTTGGAAATTTTAGGGCGATAATGGGGAAGTGGGAAGGAAGCCAAGTCGAGGAAGACCTCTTCCCATAGAGTGAATTACAGCTGGTAGTACTCTGGTATATCTGTATCACTTCTAAAGGTAAAACGACTTATAACCTCTCGAAGCAGCACCACTAGCAAGAAACTTGATGAACAAGGATGAGAGTGTGTTGGCTTATGTGTGTGTAGCCTTTAGGGCTAATGGTCAAACCTATTTATAGACTTTCCACTTAACAAACTTTGAGGATTCTCTCTTAATATGGTTGCCTCTAATCTAGGTAACAACCATATTGAGAATCATATCTTGTAGGGTATGATTTCAAGAATTATATCTCACTATATACGATCTCAAATTTTAGATATGAAAATTAATTCTAAGATATGACTTATCCATTTAGTATAGATAGAGTTTGTTTGGACTTCTAAATCTAACCCGTGAGCTCACCGAATCAGTTCGACACTCGATCTGAGTTTGCAACTTAGTTCGGCACATAATTATGTGGCGTGGATAATGATATCATCTCATCTATTTTTCATTCACCATAATACAGTTTTGAAAATATGCTAAATGTTTAATCATCATTTGATTTCTTGAATTCTCAAAATAAGGATTCCTACAAAGAGAAGCTTACCAAGATGTATGATCAAACTTGATTTTCAAAAAGCTTTCGAATCGATTTTTTGGCCTTTCTTGTGAGACATGTTGCTTCATAAAATGAGAAAATATTTTAATTATGATTGGTGGAGTGTATTACTACTACATCAAAGGAGGAAAAGATCTTCATTATTTGTATGGAATACTTTTCTCCGATCTTGAATTAGTTATGTCAGGAGCTTGAGATGAGTTATCTCCTATGCTGCTAGCCCCTCAAGATCAGCCATTTGTCTTTTGCCGATGATATTTGACACGGCTTCGAATAATTCAAACTCGATCTTAGATGGACCAATTGCAACCCAAACTTGGTTGAAGTTACTTATTTGCTTGAAAGTTATGATCCTTTGATCTTAATAAAGATGTATGGCATAGATTAAATTGCCACTCATGATGTGTGGCTTAGATTAATGTACCACTTAGTATGTATAGTGTCTTATATTTTCTTGTTGCGCACACAATCTAGACTTGACAAACAATTAGACAAAGTTTACCCTAGCTACCTTTGGAGAGGTTCCTTAGAGTTGGAGTGATTCCAGTTACAATAGGACAAATCGATTGTTTGAGCTTCGGATGCAATTGAGTGAGAGACAGAAGATGCATCGGTAGCCTCAGACAGTTCATGGATTACTTTCGGAATTCGATATATCCTATTTTTCTTTCGATTCTTTATTTTTAAGTTTGATTTACCATTTTCCCGAATATATTAGATATTTCCTTTCGAGTTCTATTCATGGAGATGATCCTAATCCATGCCAATATTATTCTCCTCTCTTGGGTTAATGCTCATTCAATGGGAATTCTCATGAACTATTTGGATAAGTTTGGGGCTGCTTATGGTCTCTCAATGTTTCAAAATTCAATATCCTGGTGGTTGGTTCATCGATTCCTTAAGAAAATCAGCTCATTTTGGTCACGGGATTTCAACGTGGCCAAGTGCCATTAAGTATGGGCGTTAAAAGTGCCCCGGAAAAGCCTAAACTCGATTTGATGGATTAATTCATTTGATTTGTTAACTTATAAGACGCTAGAGTGGTTGCAACTTGTATTATATATGATGGGGGGCTTGAGCTTATTTGATCGGTGATTCAAGGTTTATGCTGCTTTTGGCTATCCGTATTCCCCATGCCCCCCATAGTGCTCCACCCTATTTCGAAACTATGTCGAATTTTTCTTTGAAAGAGCTTTTTGATTGCGGTTGGGTAGAAAATATTATGTTCTCCAAAAGAAGAAGGGCGTCTTGCCTTCGATCCCTCCCTACTTGGAACTTCTCTCTTCTTACCAAATTTATTTGGTTGCTTCAGTCGGACGAGCACCACTGCTATTTTGGATCTCAAAACTTCTGGCAGAGATTGCCCTCTTATTGCTCGTATTTTGTTTGCTACTTAGTCCAGATTCAAGACAAGCTCATTCACTGTTTCGGTTCTGCCAAACAGGCCAAAGACCAACTGAACTTTTGGTTTGGGTCGAATACAAAAGGTATTTCTCATGTATATGATACTTTCCGTGACAAGGGCGTTTGCGCCGTCAGTTTGGGCATTTTTTATGCCAGCCTGAACATTCATTTATCTTCTGGCTTAGCGCTTTGGGAAAACTCAAATCAAGAATCGACTCATGTTTCTATATCTCAATCTGATATGTGACTTGTGCGAGGAACATCTGAAAAATATTGCTCACCTCTTCTTCATGTGCTCCTTTTCGACTAAAGTTTGGTCTTCTATTGCGAGTGGCTTCAAGCGCCGAGGGGACTAGGGATTCTTGCCCAAGCAGCCAATGGGTTCATCAAGAACAGCAATAACAATTCAGCACTTATTGAGGCGCTTAGTCCTACCAGCCTCGATTTTCTATAGCTCGACAAAACTTGTTAAGTTGCACACTTAATTGGAAACAGAAGCTAGCTGGTTCTCCCCAAAATGCGCTGAGAGATCATATGTAAGTTTGTCCTTTTTCTCATTTGATTTTGAAAGAGACGGATGGATTTATGATCGATGCTGCTCGGAACAACGACAGTTTATAACCGACTTTAGTTTTTGCCCAGCAGAACTTTTCAGTAATTGTTGTTCTACGTTCAGGCGTGTGGCTGATATTTTAAAACACCAGCTTTTGTCCTCTTGAATGCATCCAAATCGTTTTAGTGGCGCGAGGGGTGAACAGAGATTTTTACCTGGTCTAGTTTGCGGATTCCAAAGTCATAATTTAAGAAAAAAAGAAAAATGATTGTAACGTAACGTAATACAAGCGGGCAGCAGCAGGTACGGCAAGGTAATGTACTAAATTCAATTCAATACGTAAATCCAATGCAACAATCCCTCCCTCCCACAGCCTGGCTGTCTGGGTAATGATATTTCAAGATCATCTCTTCCTTTCTTCTTCCCTTGACAAGTCAAGGCAAGGCAAGGGAAAGCGAGATCAAGATAATATCAGGCGGCTAGCTAGCTAACTGTTAATACCTTTACTATCATTCTTATTGTCTTGGTTGAGAAGACAGAGTATTTCGATCCAACGAAGAAGAATCCGCAGCAGCAGCAGCAGCAGCAGCAGCAGCAGCGGCGGCAGCTCCGGTGTTGGGTCCAGGAGGAGACATTGGCAACTTTCCTTCCGATTCCACAATGGGTACTGCTGCTGCTGCTACTGCTGGAACTTCAATCTGATCAAATTTTGTTGGACGCCGAGGCCGCCTTCTCTCATAGCTGCCGCGACTTCTGCTCCTGCTCCTGCTCCGGCTGCGGCTTGACCAGCTGCTTCTGCTTCTGCTCCTGCTTCGACTTCTGCTATAACTCCTCCTATCTCTGCTCCAACTTCTGCTTCTGCTCCTGCTCCTACTCCTATTCCTACTCTTGTCCCTGCTGCTTCTGCTCCGACTGCGGCTTCTACTGTAATCCCACGTTCGAACTCTTTCAGGGCTTCGGCTCATACTTCTCCCCCTACTTCTATCTGGGCTGTCCCTGCGGTTATCAAATCGTCCTCGCCCACGCCCTCTACCCCGCCCTCGTGTATCCATATTGTTGAACCGATCATGTGGACCACCACGTCCACCCCTTTCCCATCCAATCCGACCACCGGATCCACCAAAACCGCCATCCCTTCCCCCCACACGCCCACGCCCGCGGCTGCCAAAGCCGCCATCCCTCATTCCTCCACGACCACTAAAACCTCCATCCCTAATTCCCCCACGCCCTCCATCCCTCATCCCTGCACGACCGCCAAAGCCCCCATCCCTTGGGGCACCACGACTGCCCGAGTCCCAACGACCACCACCACCATCAGCAGCATCAAAACGACTCATACCACCTCTATCCTTGCCAAAAGTAGGTCCACCACGTACTGCTATATCCCGTATCTCAGTAGGCACAACTTGATTAGCACCTTCTAAAACTTTAATAAGGTCAGGAGCATACTTCCAGTCTTGCTCCGAGAAGAAAGTGTATGAAACCCCTGTAGCACCAGCTCTCCCAGTTCGCCCAATACGGTGAACATAGTCTTCAATACCGGTTGGAAAGTCATAGTTTATAACCACCCTGCACACCAAATATCAAACTAGTAAAAAATAAATATCCAACATAGAGAATGCTAACTAACCTAAGAACTAGTAAAGGGAATGGTAAGACATTGCTGTCATGATGCCAGTGCAAAACTATTGACCTTATGTCTCTTATATCAAGTCCTCGAGCAGCAACATCAGTAGCAACAAGAACCGGGGCTTTGCCCATCCGAAATTGATTCAAGACCCAGTCTCGCTCGCCTTGAGATTTGTCTCCATGTATTGCAGCTGCCCCAAAGTAACGGCCAAGGATACGTGCTAGCTGGTCACACAACTTCTTAGTAGAGCAAAATATAATGACCTTTGAACCACGTTCTTGGGATCTAAGAATTTGTTCCAGCCGCCTCTGCTTCTCCATTTCAGGGACTACTTCAACATACTGCATGGAAGTAACTCTTTAGAGAAGGGAATTGATAATTGTACAAGGAAAAAGTCATTCCAACAAGTTTAACATAATAACTAGGAAAGATGAGAACAAAATTGAAGCTGTGGAGATAACTGATTTCTCCTGCCACACATCATCTCATTTTGAACACCAGAATAATAATGGCCTTTCACAGGCAAAACATTCATTTTACAAGTAATTTTTACGTAAAGACCAAAAGACATTAAGAAAATATTTAGTTGGAAGTAGGGCAAATGTCATGGCACAAATAACTAGTAAAATGATTTTAGAAGCCAACTGACGCAAACAATGACCTGTGTGATAGATTTGTTTGCAGCAAGTTCATCAACACTGCCAATGTTGACCTGTACTGGGTTGAAAAGAAGATCACTTGCTATCTTCCGGACTTCTTTGGGCCATGTTGCAGTATACATAAGTGTTTGCCTTCTTGGAGGAATTTCATTAACAATCTTACGAATCTGTGGCTCAAATCCCATATCCAGCATTCTATCAGCCTCATCAAGAACAAGGAGTGAGACCTGCCTAAAGTCAATCCGCTTCATTTCAAGTATGTCGTTAAGTCGACCAGGAGTTGCCACAACTATATCAGCCCCACGATCTAGCTCTTTCAGCTGAGGGCCTTTAAGAGCCCCGCCATATAAGCACTACCAAGGTAACCAGTTGCCCATTTCAAAAAATATATAAGCATATATTAATGCTAATTACAAAGAATGAGATCTGAAGGTCTACCGTGCAGGACACTCTCGAGGATCGACCAAATTTGATTGCTTCATCCTGGATTTGGGTGGCAAGCTCCCTAGTTGGAGCCAATACAAGTACTGTTGGACCATTCTGAGGATTGTTATGCCGCCGTCTGATATGAATGAATGCTGGGATCAAATATCCCAATGTTTTCCCAGAGCCAGTCTTTGCAATAGCAACTACATCCCGGTTTTGCAAAGTAATGGGCCATGTTTGAGCTTGAATTGGAGTGGGAGCTGAAAAACCCGCAAAATGCATCTGCAATAAAATAGAGAAAATATGACTCCAAATATAGTTTTGAAAACAAAGCTGCACACCACACAATGTAGGAAATGTTTAGCCTAATGCTGAGAAAAAGTTTTTACAAGAAAAAGAGAGAACAAAACCCCAAATAATGAATGCTTAAAGAAAAAATCATGAGTGTGGTTGCTTACTGAAGCAACTTGAAGCAAAAAATGGAGGAAATAAAACAGAAGCAGAGCCAATAAGCTAGTAACCCAGTCACGTATATAGTGTGAATTGGATGTAGCACCCTTCAAGAAATAGTGCTATAGGAAGGCTCCAACAGTCCATTTTGCAGCCTCAAAAACTGAGAATAGTTGTTGTATAGACATGAGCATAGCACTGCAGCGTACGACATGTGCTCCTCCTGTGGAGCAAATATCGCACCTGCGTCAAGTTAGATCCGATAAGCTAAAAAGCATGAATTTCATGAATCATGTAGAAAGCTGGGCAAAACTCTCATCATAGAATTATCAAAAATGAATTAAACAGGTTCAAGCACTTACCTCCTGTAGTATTTCTGGCGGAAATCCAGTGGCTTCAAATGTCATATATGGAGCTGGAACATCTTCTCCCTTGATAAAATTAAACAGACAAATATAGACTCAATTCAAATAATCATATGAAGACATCTAAATGAAAATATCTGTAATAAACACCAAGGCTCCTTGCACTAACCAAAATTATTTAAGTCAGTGGGAACACTGCAAATCACAAGCAACAATGACTCATGCATTTCCAATTGAACTTAATATTATATGTGTTAGATATATTATGTATAGGGGTATTTTTGTATTTATGACAGTACGAGGGCAGTTTAGGTATTTTGTATAATTTTAATATATTAGGGTTTGTATATTATAAAATCATTCTTTCTTTTGACGTTAATAATAATAATAAACGGAAAAACAGCAATATTCTTTATGGTATCAAAGCCACCGTGATCTTGTCATCCACCCAATCCGGCCGCGCCGCCCGCTGCGCCGTCCTCTTTTCTTTCCTTCGGTCTGGTTGTCCATTAAGGCTGTTCGGATTTCTCCTCCTAGGTTGGATTGTTATTAGGTTGTGGCTTAGATTTCCGTTGCTTTTGTGATTCTGAATTTATAGATTTCTCTTCAATTCAAATATTGCCCCAAACATGTCTACTTCTACTTCTTTTGCGGGTGTTCTTTCTCCAACCCTGGCTATTGCTAATGAACGATTGGTTGGGGATTCTAACTATGGCTCTTAGTCTAAAGCTGTCCAAATGTGGTGTATGGATCAAGGTTTGGCAAATCACCTTGTTATTTCGTCCACTCAGATTGCTGACCCTGAGAAAGTTGCATGGCTTAAGGCTGATGCTTTATTATACAGTTTGCTTTGACAATCTATTGATCCAAGCCTTCATCCAATTTTTACCAGTTTTACAAACTGCTGTGATCTCTGGAGACATGCGAAGACTCTATATACCAATGATATTCAGTGCCTCTACATTGTGGTATCTAATTTGGTCAATCTTCGTCAACCCGGATTGACAATTCCGGAGTATCTCAGTAAACTTTCATCCATCAAAGCTGAACTCAATTCAGTTTTACCTCCAGGAAAAACGGCTGCGGAGGAGCTTGCTCAGCGTGATACATTCTACATGGTGTGTGCACTAGTTGGTCTTGGTCCAGATTTGAGTCCGGTTCGTGATAAACTCCTTTCCAGCTCAACAGTTCCGACTCTTGATGATGTTTATTCTCGCTGATTACGTGTCTCCTCTGTAGCACATCCGATTATTGATTCAGGAGACAAGTCTGCTCTACTAGCTTCACCTTCTTCACATATGCGAGGTGATCCTAGTCATCATGGGAGCTCTCGTGCGACCTCTCGTCCACGCTGCACTTATTGCAACATGTGGGGCCATACTCGTGATAAATGTTTTAAATTGCATAGCCGGCCACCTCGGGCTGTTGTTGCGCAGGTTGAAACTCCTCAGTTATCGGGTAATTCTGTCACTTTGACTGGTTCAGACTATGAGGAGTATCTTGCATACCAAGCTTCAAAGCAGTCATCTCATTCACCCGTTGTCTCTGTCGCTCACACTGGTACCTCTCTTGGACCATGGGTACTTGATTCTGGCGCCTCTCATTACCTATCTGGTAATCCAAAATTGTTTTCCGAATTTCATAAGTCTACCTCATTACCTGATGTTACTTTAGCTGATGGGTCACGAATTTCTGTTAAGGTTGTCGGTGATGCTCAACCATTGCCATGTGTTCCCTTATCCTCCGTTATTTTTGTTCCTCATTGTCCATTTAATCTTCTCAAGATGTACTTGGCTTTATTTTATGATGAAATTCAATATCAGTTTGGTGTCTCCCTTAAAATACTTTGGACGGATAATGCCACTGAATACTTCTCTACTCCTATGACTCAGTTTATGTCATCTCATGGTATTTTACATCAGTCCTCTTGTGCCTATACTCCTCAGCAAAATGGGCTGGCTGAACGCAAAAATCGCCACCTTATTGGACTGCTCGTACTTTGCTTGTACATCATCATGTTCCTTTCCAGTTTTGGGTTGATGTTGTTCTTGCTGCCTGTTATCTTATCAACCGCATGCCGTCCTTGGTTCTCCAGAATAAAATTCTCCACTATATATTGTTCCCTAAAGATCCTTTATATCATTTACCCCTTCGTGTCTTTAGGTGTACTGCATTTGTGCATGATCACTCCTTGGGTCGGGATAAGTTAGCTCCACATGCGCTGAAGTGTGTATTCCTTGGCTATTCTAGGGTTCAAAATGGTTATAAGTGTTTCTCTCCTGATACTCGTAGGTATTACTTTTCAGCCCATGTTACATTTTTTTAGTCTACATCTTATTTCTCTCCGTCAACTTTGATCCCGTCTGTCAGCCATGTGTTACCTATTCCATTCTCTTCTCTTCTTTCGCGTCCTCCTCTTCAGGTTTATAGTCGTCGTTCTCGCCCACAAATGTTCCCTTCAGATGGTTCAACCGGTCATGTTCCTCCAGCGTTTATCGATTGTCTTGGCTGTCAAGACTTGCCATTGTCTTCTTCTCCTGCGGCTCCTATCCTGCCGGATCCTGCACCGCTACGACGAGGTACTCGTTCTTCTCGTAATCCTCATCCCATTTACAATTTTTTTAGTTTTCATCGTTTGTCTCCCATATACTATACCTTTGTGTCAAACTTATCTTCCGTCTCCTTTCCTAAATCCCTTCGTGAAGCTCATTCTCACCCAGGTTGGCGACAGGCAATGGTAGATGAAATGGTTGCTTTGCATGCTAATGGTACTTAGGACTTTGGTGCCTTTGCCTTTAGGTAAGTCTCTCGTGACTTGTCGTTGGGTTTATGCAGTTAAAGTTGATTCATATGGTCAAGTTGCTCGTCTCAAGGCCCATTTCGTGGCTAAGAGCTTCACACAGATCTTTGGTGAGGATTATACTGAAACCTTCTCATTTGTTGCCAAAATGTCTTCCCTCCGTCTTTTTATTGCTTTGGTTGTTATGCATTCCTGGCCTTTTCATCTGCTTGATATTAAGAATGCATTTCTACAGGCGAACTTCATGAGGAAATTTATATGGGGCAACAACCTGGATTTGTTGCTCAGGGGAAGTCTGGTCTTATTTGCAAACTACGCCGTTCGCTTTATGGATTGAAACAATCTCCGCATGCCTGGTTCGGTCGATTTAACAGTGTTATACAAGAGTTTGGCATGATTCGAAGCGCATTAGACCATTCTGTCTTTTATAAGCACACATCAAGTGGTAAGTGTTTATACCTTCTTGTGTACGTTGATGATATTGTTATCACTGGAAATGATAAGAAGAGGCCACTCAATTAAAGCAACATCTATTTAAGCATTTCCAAACTAAGGATATGTGACCATTGAAGTACTTTGTTGGTATTGAGATTGCTCAATCACGTGATGGTATTGTTCTTTCACAACGGATGTACGCATTGGATATTCTTCAAGAAACTGGTTTGTCTGACTGCAACCCAGTAGACTCTCCCATGGATCTAAATTTGAAGCTTTTTCCAGGAAAGGGGGAGCCATTAGCTGACGCAGAAAGATATCGTAGAATGTTTGGTAAGCTTAACTATCTCACACTTACTTGACCTCATATCTCTTTTGCTGTAAGTGTTGCGTGTCAATTTCTTCAGTCTCCATGCTATAGTCACTTAGATGTTGTCATTCGAATCTTGAAGTACATCAAAGGGTCTCCTGGTAGAGGATTATTGTACACTAATCAAGGTCACACTGAAGTAATTGGCTACTCAGATGTTGATTGGGCAGAATCCCCAGTTGATAGACTCTCTACTTCGGGATATTGCATATTTGTGGGAGGTAACCTTATCTCATGGAAAAGTAAGAAACAGAATGTTGTTGCTTGCTCAAGTGCAAAGGCAGAATATCGAGCCATGGCATTAGCGACATGTGAACTTATTTGGGTAAAACAGTTTCTTTATGAACTCAAGATAGTGGAAGTTTCAGAAATGAAAATCTTGTGACACTCAAGCTGCCTTGCATATTGTATTTGATCCGGCGTTTCATGAGAGGACTAAACATATAGAGATTGATTGTCATTTTATTCGGGAGAAGGTATTATCTGGATGCATCGTCACTCACCATGTTGCTTCGAATGAGCAACTTGCAGACATTCTTACCAAATCTCTTAGAGGCCCTCAAATTAAATTTTTATGTGACAAACTTGGATCATACGATTTGTATTCTCCAGTTTGAAAGGGAGTGTTAGATCTATTATGTATAGGGGTATTTTTGTATTTATAATAGTACGAGGGCAGTTTAGGTATTTTGTATTGTTTTAATATATTAGGATTTTGTATATTGTAAAATCATTCTTTCTTTTGACGTCAATAATAAATAAAAAAAAAAAAACAGCGATATTCTACAATATGAATTGTTGAGATTGGATCTATGGCTTGTATGGAAAAGAAATGGAAATATCTGCATATTCACTTAAAATGCTCAGATCAATATGTTTGTTCATAAACAATAATTGCAAGGTGTGCATTGACTCTCTTCCATACAATAAAGAAGAATTGTTTGACAAGATGTATTGCCATTCCTCAGAAAATGTGTTGCAAGGCATTAGTTAAAGGAACACAAGAGAATGCACAAATTGAATGATTTGATGCTACTAAATATTCAGAGACAACAAATCCATGAAATACGTACAGTGGCTGTTACTTCGTGCTTTTGACAATAAATTTCAGCTGCAGATAACTGGGTAGTAGGGTCAGAAGGTCTTGTCACTGCTGAAGGAGGCCTCACAAAAGCATTTCCAGGATAAGGCAGGGCAGCAGATGAAAGATCATAGCCACCATGCAAGGGAGGCCCTCCATTCAAACTGCCTGGAAGAATGGGGACAGAGTTTTGAGAAGGCAATTCGCTCATCCTTGCTTCCTGATAAAATAAAATAAAAAGAAAAAAATGAAATGTCACTATTATAGCAAAAAAAAAAAAAAAAATCCATGGCTTTACAGATGCATGTTGCATAAAACTTGTAAACTATAACCGGAAAGTAGCATTACTAAAAGATCGTTCATGTAAAAATACACTAGTTGTCGTGCATTCTATGCCAAATATCATTTTACCCAAAAATATTTATGAGGCAACAATACTGAGCATGATGTCCAACAAATTTACCTGTTGATTTCTTGTCATAGGTAACGGTGCGAGTTTGGGTAGCTGATGAGCCAATATATTGGCATCCTTTGTTGCATTATAAAAATATTCATTTTTAGCCCTAGCAAGATGGCTTTCGTCGTATTGCATCTTGTCATGCATCAGCCCAGGGTCAAGTTGAGTTTGAAACCTAGAACCATATTGTGGATGTGTTGGTTCTACCCCTTTTTGTTGCACCTGAACTGAAGGGTTGTTATGTTGCACATTAGCAGATGATCCACCATATGGCAGACTCGGTCGAACGTTCATGTTTTGTGTGTGCGGGGAATTAGTTCCAACTGACAAGTTCTGCACAGGTGCCCCAGTTTGTTGAGCTGTCGAAAACACTGGTTGATTCACCTGCTGAAACTCAAGATTATCTCTGTGAGGGACTCCAATTTTTGGTTCATGGTGATGGGGAAATGACTGTCCCTGAATTACAAGTGGATGCGATGGCGAAACTTTTTTTCCTTGAAAATAATCAGTTTCATCTCTGGGACCAAGATCCACTTTATGATCTTGTCTGTGAGACATCTGATTTAAATGCTGAGACTGTTGGGAGGAGCTTTGTGGTCCTTGTAGTGGCATGCTCTGTTGAGGCACCATGAACTGCGTGTGCTGAGGAGTGAATTGAAAACCATGTGAAGTTCCCATTTGTGTACCTGGATACATTTGTCCATGCTGAACACGGGGCATTGGCTGATAAGGGGATTGGTGCCCTGGCTGCATAGGAATTTGCTGCACAACTCCCTGATGCCCGGGCTCAATATGCATTTGTCCCAGAGGGACCTGATGCTTTGTTTCCTCAGGAGCTGAAGGGGCCTGCTGCATCGTCAGCCCCAAATGTGAACCTTGCAGCTGCCCAGGGGCCACTACTTGCTGACGAGTGCCCTGTGGTGCTAACTGACTCTGTTGCTGCAAGGATGAACTTATAAGCATCCCCTGTGGATGCTGAGTTTGCATCAAGTGATGGTTTTGGATACCGTCTGGCTGTGAGGCTTTGAATGAAAGTACAGCATTCGTCGTAGATGTGGATGCTACAGGTGGGGGCCTAGAAGGCAAAGGTGGTTGTAAAGTCGAGGGTTTTTCATACTGGGTAACATTTGTTTCAGGATTCCAGTAATACAAAACGCCTGTGCTTCCATCAATTAATCCTTTCCAAGGTTCAGGTAGAGTTGGATCATCTGGAGCATATCTGGGCCCAAGGGTACTCGGTGATGCCTCAGCCGTGGCCATTCAAAACTCACTGCACTGCACCATCCGATTACATTCAATCCCCAAATTACTCAAGTTTATATGAAATATAGCATATAATAAAATAATAATCAAATCAAAGAAAGGCTCAGCCCCAAATCACCCAACAACTCAAAATCTACACACAAAATATCAAAACAAACCGGCACAAAGAACCCTTCACCACACCCAAAGCAACCCCCAAACCAAAGAATAGAGGCTTACGGTAAAGGAGCGGACAAAAATAACACCACAAACACAACCGCAAGCCGACTGATGACGAACAAACCCTTTGTAGCTCGAAACGCCAGAATAGGGGAATGGATTCGTGCCAAATCTCCACAATTGAAACAAGATAAAGGCACCAGAGAAGATATACCACCACCAGAGCCAGAGAGAATCGCGCGAGAGAACTTGGAAGAAAGTTTAGAGTGAGAAAGCGAGAGTAGATGAAAATGAGAGAGACTTGCGGCTTCTCTCTCTCCCCCATAACTTGCCCATTCGGTTTCGATCAACCGGCGGTTCGAACCGACAGCTGGCATAACCGTTAGAAATTCTGACTGTTCGGTTTCGCTTTTTTGTAGTTTTTTAAACCGGAACAGACGGTTCAAACCGCCGATTTACTGTTGCGGTTTGACTTTTTTTAAAAAAGAATAATATTCTCCCAGGGGAAGGGCAAGACGCAGCCGGTTGAAGAAGAAGATCGAGAAAAGGAGGAGAAAGGAAGAAGATAGAGAAGAACTTGGGTGGATGTGTGAAGGTTGATTATGGTAAAAATTAAAATTCTTTGTATTTTATAATAATATTAATATATTTATAATTAAATTTTTATAAAAATAAAAATAATATTAATATTAATTATAAATAATTATTAATAATACTGAAAAATAATAATATTATAATAGTAGTATATTTTAAATTTTTTTAATTTTTTATTATATAATTATATTTAATTTAAATTATCTTATCATCTATTATATCAATAATTTTATAATTTTTTTTATTTTTTTTAATTTAAAATTTAATTTAATCATCTACTACATTTATTATTTTAATTAATTTTATATTATAACAATGTAATTACTTACTTATATATATATGATTTTTAAATAATAAATATATCTAAATAAAATTAAAATCAAATTTAATTATTTTTAAATAAAATTCAAATTTTAAAAAAAAAAAAAGAAAAGAAAAAATTTTATTAAAAATGAATATATATATATATACTGGCGGTTAAAACCGTAATCGGTTTATAAATCGTAATCGAAACAATCAAACTGTAATCGAAACCGTCATTCGTAAGGTTCAGTTTCGATTTGATATTTTGAGAGACCGTAATCGACAATTTGAACCGTTTAGACAAATCTATATATATTTTGTGTAAAGAATTGAATGGATCATATTTAAACCCTAGAACGGATTATGAGGATGGTGTCTGATGGGCGCGGTTCTTTGGTGTTGTAATTTCTTTATACTAATGAATAAATTTAAAAGCAGACCACATGGGCAAAAACTTCAAATATACAAATATAAACAGATAAATGATCCAAGAATCAATAATCCAAACTCAATAAACATTACGAATTGGCAATATCTATTGGTGTATATCATAAATAAATCAAATTACATCTACCATAAAATTTTGAGTATATTTTAAACAGTAACACAACTAACAAGCTTTCAGAACTCAAACAGTCACTCGAATCCTCTAATCAAACTCATTAAACAGGTTACTTGTCTGTCGGACCTAATTTGCAAAGTATTAGGTTCTGCCGGAGTTTATCCCATGCGCACTTTCTAGTAGCGGCTGCGCGGGTTCCCACGTTATCAAAAAAAAAAAAAAAAAAAACCTCATTAAACAGGTTTATTGAACGTATTAAGATACTCAATCCACCCAATAAAACTATATTTCGAAATTACCGTATCAAGAGAACTATTTTCGTTTCCTACTGCAGTTGGATGTGCCAAGCGTGATTCGTGATAACCTTAGCTTCTTCGTTTATAAAATTAATGAAATGCAAATCAAAGTGTACAGTTCTTTTGCAATTTTTTATTATATACTCATATTTAATTTAAATTATCTTCTTATCTATTACGTCAATAATTTTATAATTTTTTTTTGTTTTAATTTAAAATTTAATCTAATTTTCTGCTAAATTTATTATTTTAATTATTTTTTTATATAATAACAATCTAATCAATTATTTATATATATGATTTTTACATAATAAATAAATAATAAATATATCTAAATAAAATTAAAATCGAATTTAATTACTTTTAAATAAAATTCAAATTTAAAAAAAAAATAGAAAATAAAAAATTATTAAAAATGAATATATATAAACCGGTGCTTTATAAGCCGTAATCAAAACTCTCAAATCGTAATTGAAACCGTCATTCGGAAGGTTCAATTTCGATTTGATATTTTGATAAATCGTAACCGGCAGTTTGAGCAAGTATATATATATATATTTTGTATAAATAATTGAATGGAACATATTTAAACCCTAGAACAAACAGTCAGGATGGTATCTCGTGAGCACAGGTCAAAGGTCGAATCCGGGTCAACTAGGCGCATTGCGTGTCTGATGTGAGGGCCGGGCCAAAGTTCTATTTAGGCCACATAATTCATATAAAGTGTGTGTAGTGTGTGGATACAATTTGTTTAAAAAATGATCATAGATCAAAATTTTAAACAATAGCATCCCCGCCACTTACCTCCCATCTCATTTATTTTTTATTCAAATTTTTAATGTTCCCGAAATAATCATATCAAGTATTTTAGCTACATATGTTTTGCGGATACCTTCAAAGGTAAAAAAAGAAAACATTATTGCCCATAATGTTGTAATTTCTTTATACTAATGAGTAAATTTAAAAACAAAATAGAAACGCAAAAACCTCGAGCATTCAAATATAAACAGATAAATGATCCAAGAATCAATAATCCAAACTCAAAAAACATTACAAATTGGTAATCTCTAGTGTCGTATATCATAAAGAAATTAAACTACATCTACCAGGAAATTTTGAGTATATTTTAAATAGTAACACAACTCAACCAGTTTTCAAAACCCAAACAATCATGCGAATCCTCTAATCAAACTCATTACACAGGTTGATTGAACCGCATTAAGATACTCAATATATCCAATGAAACTATATTTTGAAATTACCGTATCAACAGGACGATTTTCGTTTCCTACTATAGTTGGATGCGCCGAGCGTGATTCGTGATAACCCTAGACTCTTCGTTTATAAAATTAATAGAATGCAATTCAAAGTGCACAGTTCTGTATGCATTGTGATTTTATCCACAATCTAAAAATGGAAGCTCAAAAAGTTTTAAACTACACTGCCCTAAGACCATGTGCTATAAAGGAACCGCTATTTGCAATTCAAAGTGCACAGTTTCGTATACGGTCTGATTTTGTCCACAATCTAAAAATTCAAACTCAAAAAATTTTAAACTACACAGCCCTAGGACCATGTGCCATGCAGAAACCGTATTGCGTTCCCCGAGTTTTCTCTCTCTGTTACGTCAGCTTAAGAACTCTTAATAATTCATTTAATTTTTTACACCCATTGTAGAACCAAGTTTCAAATTCTCCAAATTTCTCTTTCTTCACTATTAGCAAATTTATTATTTTATTTAATAAAAAAATTTATTTAATTTTTTATTATAATATTACTATATACATATAATAATATTTTTATGTAAGAAATTTTTTATTTCTAATTAATATTTTTTTCTTAAATTTTATTTATTTTTAATTAAAAATTCAATAAATTTATATTATTATATTTAATATTAAGTTACATATTAATACTTTCAAAAATAAAAATAATAATCCTTTTTAATTATTATTATATATAATATTTTAAAATAAATTATATTAATTAAAAACAATAAAAAAATATTAAAAAAATACTATATTTACTCTCTCCTTTACGTAGAGGAGAGAGAAAATTTCAGAAAAAAAATCGTTATGGACTTAACATTATATTTTTTATATATAATTTTTATATGTGGCATGACACATAACACAAACCTGTTTTTATGGATAAAGAACCTAGTGTTGCACATGCTCTAATATAGTGTGTATTAAAAGCTCGTTTAAGTTTATATTGAATTGTGGCATTTTAACAATTTACTCAGCACCTTAAAAAGAATGAACGAACACTCACCAACAAAATGAAAATATTTTTGAGTATTCCAAATTTACAGCGTAGATTCAATCCCATTCATTTCCAACTCATATGAGAAGATATTTTTTTATAATTAAAATATGTTATTTGATTGTAGAAAGTATTTAACATGATAAAATATTAGATTGTGTTTTTTTTTGTATTTTACCATAAATTTTTTTCGGATTTTTTTCTTTCAAAATATCAAATCAAATAATTATTTATTTATATTATACTATAAATATATTTTACATATAAAACATCACGTAACATCTATTTATATCAAATTAAATAACTATTCAAATTCAACATTTTACTATTCAAAAATCTAAACCCACAAACAAAACACAAAATTATCTAAAATATTAAACATAAGGGATTTCAAATTTATAATTAATTTGAAGATTTGAATTTTAAAGTATTTTTCAAGTAAAATTAATGAATTTTGTGGAATTATTTGAAATATTTTTAATTTTGTTGACCTATAAAATAATTGATGATTGTTGGTTTCTAGGCAATTTGCTGCGATTCTCCGGTGATATCAATATGCGATAAATTTAGGAAAAGAAAATGCAAATTAATTGAATAATGTACGACGCAAACAAGTTGCATGATTCAAGATTGGATTTAACATTATTCTAAAAAAATGCAAAAATAAAGAAAATAAAATGATAAATTTGTGGAGAAGATGTGGTTGTCTTCTTCCCTGAACGGTTGGTCTTTCATATTATCAAAATGCACATTCAATTTTGCATTCATGCATTTAAACTCTTTGCAATGTCTCCCCAACGATCATTTGCATTTTGTTTGTTTGTATTTTGTTCATTTGCATTTCCTCCCCACAATTGCTTGCATATTTCTTCTCCATAATTACTTCTCATTGACAACTTCAAGGGTTTGTGTAATCTTCATGCAACTAGCACCCTCCCTTATTTCACATTTTAATGTCTTTTTTATGGAAATTAACTCCACTATCTTCCACTTCACACGTCCAAATTTGAAAATCATCAATCAGGCCGGCTTAATTTACCATTTCATTGGGCTTGTATTCTTTTGGGTCATTGCTAATCATAAATTACTATTGATTGGTCCGATTTAGATGTTTGGACCTGACGCTAACACAACTTGTTGTGTTCGCCTAATTTGTTTTGATACGATTGATCAAAATCCTCTGGAATCGGCCTGCCATTATCTATGGAATTTTGTGTGGCAAAATAATGTCTCCTATATTTCACAAATTATTGAATATTAGATAAAAAATATATATATTTTGTGAAATATATATAC